GGCTCAGGTCATGATCCTGGAGTCCCGGGATCGAGTCCCACATCGGGCTCCCTGCTCAGCGGGGAGTCTGCTTCTCCCTCTGACCCTCCTCCCTCTCACGCTCTCCATCTCTCATTCTCTCTCTCTCAAATAAATTAATAAAATCTTAAAAAAAATAAATAAATAAAATAAAATAAAGCACCCTGAAAGGCTGAATAAATACTGAATGAAACCTAGCAAAAGAAGGACCTCAGACAGCATTAACCCATAGAGCAAACTCTAATAATTTACTTAACTAAAGACTACAAAGGTTAGAAATTTCTACATTGGCTTAAATAAAATACGGTAGACTGTCTTGCTCTGGGTGTCCGCTCTCTAACTCAATTAGAGAAATAGCAAGTGGAGGCAGTCCAAGGTGGTGGCATAGAAAGACTCTGAACTGACTTCCTCCCATGGACACAATAAATTTACACCTATATATAGAACCATTCTTCCTGAAAAAGTGAGGTGGATTGAATAGCTTCTACACAACAAACAACAGAGGAACCACATAGAGAACAGTAGCAAACAAGGTAACAACACAAACCACACCCCAGATACAAGAACCTGCAGTAGGGAGGGATATCACTGAGGGTCCCAAGCAGACTCACCTGTCCTGAGGCACAGAAACAAAACAGCAATTTAAAGGCAGCTAGACTACAAGTGAAGGAAATCCATTTACTAACTCTAGAGCCTCTGCCAAATGGAACTGCTGGAATTCTTTCCAGAAGTCAAAGATGCCTACAAGTGCCACTGTTTATGCTCCCCACACCCATACTTGACAGTACTGATGAGAAGAGTCCAGGTACTCTAGCTGGCCTGCCAGGACTGCCCCAGCAAGTCTGGGCCCCCAAGCCCAGAACAGTTTCAGCTGTCCCACCAAGGCAATCCACTGCCCTGTGCCAGCCCCAGCTCTAGCCATCACAAGGTGGCCCCAGAAGCTCCAGGATATGCCAGGCCTGTAGCCAATAGCTCAAGCTCTCCCACCATTGTGGCCCTGGCACAGAGTACATTGGAATCCCTCCCATGCCCACACCTACTCAAGTCATCTGCCAAGGAGCCCAGGCCAACTCTAGCCCCAGCCATCCTGCCAAAGTGCCCTAGTGTAGCAAGCCCCAGGGCACCCCTAGCCCATGTCTACTCCAGCTCCAGCTACCCAGCCAAATCACCCTGGTACACATACTCAACAAAGGAGACATTCCTATACAAGTCCGCTCCTTCAAGACCAAGAGGTAGCTGTTCCACCAAATTTACAGACACAGACACAGAAAGACAAACAATATACACAGAAAGAAGATGTGTTCAAAACAAGAGAACAATATAAAATAAGAGAGATAAATAGCTTTCTTGATAAACAGTTCAAACTAATGGTCATAAAAATGTTTACTGAACTTAGGAGAAGAATGAAGGAATACAGAAAAAAACCTTAACAAAGAGGTAGGAAATATAAGAGTACCAAAAAGAGGGGTGCCTCAGTCAGTTAAGCATCTGACTCAAGTTGGGCTCAGGTCATGATCTTGGGGTCAAGAGATCGAGCCCTGTGTCAGGCTCTGCGCTGGGCATGGAGCCTGCTTGAGATTCTTTCTCTCCCTCTGCTCCTCCTACCCCTGCTCGCATGTGCTCTCTCTCACTCAAAAAAAAAAAAAAAAAGTCACAGAGCTGAAAATTTCAGTAACTAAACTGAAAGTACACCAGAGGGCATCAAGAGATTAGAGGATAAAGAAGAATGGATCGCCCCAATGGAAGACAGAATAGTGGAAATCACCCAGTCAGAATAGCAGAAGAAAAAAGAATTTTTTAAAAAATGAGAATAGTTGGGGTGCCTGGGTGGCTCAGTCATTAAGCATCTGTCTTCAGCTCAGGTCATGATCACAGGGTCCCGGGATCGAGCCCTGCATCGGGCTCCCTGCTCAGCGGGAAGCCTGCTTCTCCCTCTCCCACTCCCCCTGCTTGTGTTCCCTCTCTATGTCTCTGTCAAAAAAATAAATAAAATCCTTAGAAAAAATGAGAATAGTTTAAGGGACCTCAGAAATGACATCAAGTATACTAACATTCACATTATAGGGGTTTCAGAAGGAGGAAAAAGAGTAAGAAAATCTATGTGAAGAAATAATGGCTACAAATGTTCTTAATCTAGTGTAGGAAAGACATCCATGTCCAGGAAGCAAAGAGAGTTCCAAACAAGATGAAACCAAAAAGAGCCACACAAAGATAGATTATATTTAAAATGGCAAAAGTTAAAGAGAAAATCTTAAAGGTAACAAAAGAAAAACAGTCACATATAAGGGAAACTCCGTAAGATATCAGCTGATTTTTGCAGCAGAAACTTTTTGTGGGCAAGGGAGTGACAGTATACATTTAAAAACCTGAAAGGCAAAACTCAACCAAGAATACTCTACGAGGCAAAATTATTCACAACTGAAGGAGAGATAAAGAGTTTCCCAGATAAGCAAAAACTAAAGAAGTTCATCACCACTAAAAAGGCCTTATAAGAAATGTTAAAGGGTCTTCTTTAAGTAGAAAAAAGGACCATAACTACAAATAAAATATGAAAGAAACAAAATCTCACTGATAAAAATATATAATAAAGGCAGTAAATCAGCCACTTAAACAGTATAAAAGTTAAAAAAAAATAGTAAAATTTACTATAACTACAATAACTAGTTAAAGGATACACAAAATAAAAAGATGTAAAGTAAAACATCAGAACATAAAACATGGATCAGATGCGGGATAAAAGTTTAGTGCTAGAAATACATTTAAGTAACTATTAGCTTAAAATAGACTGCCATATATAGGTCAATTAACAGAAACCTTGTAGTAACCACAAACTAAAAGCCTACAGAATAAACACAAAAAATAAAGAAAAAGGAGCCCAAATATAACACTAAAGAAAACTATCAAACCACAAGAGAAGAGACCAAGAGAAGAAATGAACAGAGAAAAGCTACAAAAACAAACAGGAAACAATTAAAATGGCAGTAAGTACACACCTACAAATAATTACTTTAAATGTAAATGAACTGAATGTTCCAATCAAACGACATAGAGTGGATGAATGGATAAACAGAAAACCAAGTCCCATCTATATGGGGCCTACAAAGACTCACTTCAGATCTAAAGACACAGACTGAAAGTAATGGGATGGAAAAAGATATTTCATGCAAATGGAAACAAAAAGAAAGCTTATGTAGCAATATTCATCAGACAAAAGAGACTTTAAAGACTGTAAGAAAAGACAAAGGGTATTATGTAATAAAGGTGTCAATCCAAGACGAGGTTGTAAAATTCATAAATCTTTATGCCCCCAAAACAGAAGCACCAAAATTTTATATAAAGCAAGTATTAACAGACATAAAATTGACAGTAACACAATAATAGTGGGTGACTTTAATACCCCACTTACATCAATGGATAGATCATCCGATTAATATTAATAAGGAAACCTTGGCCTTAAACAACACATTAAACCAGATGGACTTAATAGATATATACAGACGATTTTATCCAAAAAACTATAGAAAGCGCCTGGGTGGCTCAGTTGGTTAAGCAACTGCCTTCAGCTGAGGTCACGATCCTGGAGTCCCAGGATCGAGTCCCACATCGGGCTCCCTGCTCAGCGGGGAGTCTGCTTCTCCCTCTGACCCTCCCCCTTCTCATGCTCTCTCTCTCCCTCATTCTCTCTCTCAAATAAATAAATAGAATCTTTAAAAAAAAAAAACTATAGAATACATATTCTTTTCAAGTGCACATGGAACAGTCTCCAGATGTGAAGCCACAAAACAAATCTCAAAAAATTCCAGAAGACTGAAATCATAACAAGTATCTTTTCCAACCCCAATGGTATAAAATTAGAAATTAATTACAAGAAGATAACCTGGAAAAAAACACAAACACAGGGAAACTAAACAATGCTACTAAACAATCAATGGGTCAACAAAGAAATCAAAGAGAACATCAAAAAATATGTTGAGACAAACGAAAATACAAACAACTTTCCAAACCTATGAAACATAGCAAAAGCAATTCTAACAGGCAAGTTCATAGCAATACAATCAAGCCTACCTCAAGAAATAAGAAAATTCCCAAATAAACAATCTAAATTTACACCTAAAGGAACTAGGAAAAAAAAGAACAAAACCCAAAGTTAGTAGAACAAAGACCAGAGCAGAAATTAACAAAATAGAGATTAAAAAACAAAAGACAAGATCAATGAAACTAAAAGCTGACTACTGAAAAGATAAGCAAAATCAATAAACCTCTACTCAAAAATCATCAAGAAAAAGAGAGGGGACCCAAATAAATATACAAGAAATTAAATAGAAGTTACAACTGACATGACAGAAATATAAAAGGATCATAAGAAATTACTACAAACAATTACATGCCAACAAACTGGAAAACCCAGAAATGGATAAATTCCATTTATGGATAAATTTCACTTTTCTAATAATTTATCCATTTCCTCTGGGTTCCGAGACTTGATTACAAAGAAATAGAAAATGTTAATAGACCAATTACAAGTAATAAAATTCAACCAGTAATTTAAAAGTCCAGGACCAGACAGCTTCATAGGTGAATCCTACCAAACATTTAAAGAGGAGTTAGTAACTATCCTTCACAAATTATTTCAAAAAACTAAAGAGGAAGGAATGCTTCCAAACTCATTTTATGAGGCCAGCATTACCCTGATATCAAAACCAGTCAGACATCACAGAAAAAAAAAAAAAAAAAATTACAGGCACTATCTCTGGTGAACACAAATGCAAAAATCCTTAACAAAATATTAGCAAACTGAACTGAACAATACTTCAAAAGGATCATACATCATGATCACTTAGGATTTATTTCAGAATGATTCAACATCTTTAAACCAATCAACATAATACACCATTTTAACAAAATGAAGGATAAAAATCCTATGGTCATCTCAACAAACGCGGAAAGACCATTTAAAAAATCCAACATCCATTTATAAAAACTCTCAACAAAGTGGGTATAGAAGGAATGTACATCAACATAATAAAGTCCATAAATGACAAACCCAAAGTTAACATCACACTCAAGGGTAAAAAGCCAAAAGCTCTTTCTCTAGGATCAGGAACAAGATAAGGATGCCCACTCTCACCACTTTTCTTCAACACAGTACTGGAAGTCTTGGCCACAGCAATTAGGCAAGAAAAATAAATAAAAGGCATCCAAATTGGAAAGGAAGAAGTAAAACTGTTCACTACCGGAAGACAACACATATATATACACACATGTGATGTATACATACACAATGGATTATTACTCAGCTATAAGAAGAATGAAATCCATAGATGGACCTACAGGATCATATGCTAAGTGATATAAGTCAAACAGATAAAGACAATACCATATGATTTCACTTATTGTGAAATCTAAAAAACAAACAAATGAACAAAAAAAAAAAAACAAACAGACTCACAGATATAGGAAACAGACTGTTGGTTACCATAAGGGGGAGGGGCTAGAGAGCAGGTGAAATAAGTTGAAGGGGAGTAAGAGATACAAACTTCCAGTTATAAAATAAATAAGTCATGGGGCTGTAATGTACAGCAGAGAGAACATAGTCAATAATATTATAATAACTTTGGTGACAGAACTAGACTTATTATAGGGCCCTTTCAGTAATGTATAAAAATATCTAAAAATAAATAAATAAATAAATAAATAAATAAAAATATCTAATCACTACAATCCATAACACCTAAAACCAACAGGATATTGTATGTCAATTATACTTCAGTCAATCAATCAATCAATCCTCAATGAGGTCCAACATCCTATGGGGAAAAAAGGGATCAAGTTGCAGAAAAGCAAAAGAGCACTGATGAATGACTCAGCATCACTTTAAATACTGTAATAAAGCAAAGACTGCTTCTTACCCTCCCAAAAATGCATTGACAGAGTAGTACTGTAAGATCAAGAGTAGCTTAAAATAAGATTTTCCAAAAAATTAAAGTATAATTTCTTCCAGGGAAGTGTTAATTTGTCTAACTACTATGAGAGACTTTTTCTTTTAATTATAATAAAGTAAAAGTCTAACGTTACTTTTCAATATAGTCAGTGGGGAAAGAACACCAGAAATAAAACACAGAACTGAAATATTATTTTGTTTTAAATCAATTTTACCTCAATATATAAATTGGAAACCCCCTCATAAAGTTGTTCAGTAACAAAGCAAAAAACCTGTTTTTAAAGAAATATTGGCAAAGGGTTCATTAAACTATTATCATCATTGAAAAATAAAAGCTTACTGGAAAGTCTTTATCCAGTTCATTTATCTGAATAGCAAAATTATCCGGAAATACTCCTTCTTTACCATTAAGTTCACCCTTCCACCAGCCAGTTTCTCCAGTCTCCTATAATGCAAAATGAGGAATAATTAAAATAATTGGGGCTATCTTTAAATAAGAAAAAAGTTTACAACAAAATGGGAAAGTAATGAATTCCATTATTTTTACAAGGAAAAAAAAGGGCTGAACAGATCATTAAGGTCCTCCTAAAAGCAAATATTACCCACATATTACTTCCAGCAGTATTATAAAACTGGGTTTCATTTTTTTAAGTAAGTCAAATAATTTTAAAATTCAGTTTACAAGAAGAAAGGAAAAAGTAAAGTGGGAGAGGAGGTGGAGCAAGAATATGATTTTCTAAACTGTATCTTACTTAACATTCTTAACACTTTATATACTAAAAAACAAGCACATTATTCATTTGCCTTAGAAATTAACAAGATATTCTACAATTCTCTCCAAATACCCCCCCTTCCATGAGAAATTGGATGATTATCAGTCCAAAACTATGGATATTAAAAATCACATACACTAAACCATCTGATAACAAAGTCAATTTAAAACAAGGGGAAATTTTTTAGAAATTATTCTATTTGGTTATAACAAAACCAAAACATTTATAGTTTTCTTCTATTACAAATAGTAATGGGATTCTGCCCAGACCCAAATACTCCTGGGTTTTCTAATTTTTTTGCCATAATTTTTTTTTTT